CGAAACAAATCTTTATTCAACATCATATCATCGACATAATGTTAAGTAAACAATGCATAAATTATACTACAAATATACGTAATATATCATATAAAACCTGTAGTAAACATAAACAGTTTTCCTACAAATTCATGCCTAATAACCTATGTAAATATATTTTGATCTAAGGAAACAGGAGTAAAGAATCATTTTATAATAATTTTAACTGAATTAACTACACACACACATAAAGTTTGTTTACATTTTACCCTCGTATTAATTTTTTTTTTTTTATTTATACAACTTAGAATGGCAAACAAGCTGCCGGCCCTTCTGATGGAAAGTGGTAACCGTCGCCTATAGACATGAGCAGTACCATGGACATAACAGAGTATACTGTTTCGCCCATGATACCCCCCATGCGTTGCCATTCCTGAGGACTCAGATGTTATTCCTCTGTACCCAGTAAATTCACGCCATATCCCACCCTTCAAACCGAAACACAGCCTGCAAACACAACTGCTTCACGGTTGAAACACGAATGGGACAGAGGTCCCAAGCAATCGACTTTTGTACAAAGTCTCCCTCTGGTATATAATTAATTAAATTTCCGTCTCACTTCAAGTGATATCTAATAAAAATACATTCGGATATACTCGTATATAAGGATAAGAATCCTTAAGACCATATTGTTTTTGATACAGCCACTTTACGAATTTCTTTTGGTTTTTTGCCACCATAAGCATATATTTATTTTGTTTGTCCATGGGATACTATTCTCTCTATAATATTGATACTTCATACTTTTTACTTATACATACCTACATCTTTCTTATATTCTTATCTATATAGACAATATTCAGTCAATTCTCTCCATTTCAAATTTTCTCATTCATAACCTCAAAAATAAAGTTAAGTGGAGCATTCTCCACCAAATTGCCTACCATTATCCAAATAATCAACAATCAAGCATTAAATATGCTCAATAATTTATTAGCAGCTATTAACGCCTTTAGTTAGACGTTTTATAGCAGAAGAAATACCATAAAGGAGGGTAGAAGAATAGCCGTCATTCCTGTATAAACAACGGGGCAATACACACAAATTGCGCTGTAAAATAAATTAAAGTAGACTCATTAACGGGCCCGTTCGGTGCTTACATTATGTAATTAATTACATTTGAAAATGTAAGTAAAGCCCGTCCTGCATTTTAGTTGAGGATTTTCAGATTACTTTTTGTCAGGCCGGAACAAATGACCTCTCGACTGTAGCCGTATCGTTTTTGGACAATCCCTCGATTTTCTTATTTATACTTAATTTTCGTTGATAATTTATATTAATGTGTATTATATTTAAGCTATTTCAAACCTTAGTTCGTAGAGAATATGATACTAAGTCCAACATTTTGTTTGGATGTGGATAAATTTATTCATAAATAACCAAATTCCATTTTTAAAAAGATTCTTTGCGCCCATGAACCCCTTTTCTCAATTTTTATTTATTCTTCTTTTCTTCTGCTTCACTTTTCCTCCTTTTCAGTTATGTATAAAGGTTTAAGTTCATAGATAATTATAGTTTAGTCATTAAATTAATATAATTAATCTTTCTGTTAGATTTTTTATTTAAATTAATAAATATCTTTTATCACATACTGACCAATGTTTAAACAATTTCTTGCAAGCTTTTAAAATAGCGTTATCTGCTCTATAACCTTATCTAATGTTCCACTAATTATATAATACATATAATTATATTTAGTACTTATGTGAAAACATTTCAGACACAGCTTTGACTAATGAGTGTTGACTTTTGTTCACGAACAGAATATGATTTTGTTAAGTCTTAGTAAATTAATGGTATGTATTATTGATACCTGTTAATTATTATATTAAATGGTTTGATTAATTAATTGAGATTACTATCGTTGTTTATCTCCATATATTATTCATACTATTCAGCAATCAGTTACGCTTAAATCATTATATGACCTACATAAATATATGTTATTAGGAGAAAAGGGATTATTAGTAAACGAGTCTAATTAGCGGGGTTACCCTTCCATTATCATTCAATATAAAAAAATATATAGTACAAGTACACCTTTTATTATGAATTACATGAATAAAATTGCGGGATATACTATTGATGAATTTTAGAATATGGAATCAGATAATGTTATTTTCATTGTACTCGTACTATGATAAGAAACTTGATTCATATGTGCAAAGTCATTGGATATAGCTATTATTTTTTTATGCAACTTATAACTCAACTGTTGGAAAGTAGTAACCGTCGCCTATAGATATGTACAATACCATAGACATAACAGAATATATTTTGTCGTCCAAGACACCCTAGTATATACTATGGATAAGTTTCAGAATATCTAATCAGATTACATCTTTTTTATTAGATCGTATTCTTAAAGATTGTGGATTTGCTTAGTATTTAGGTATAGAACAACTGATCTATAACTAAAACTGAAAAATAAAACAAAAAAAAAATATTTATTATATTATTTTCTGCAGCCTGTACCTACTAACAAATATTTATTACTCGAAAACAAAGGACGTTGACCTACACGAGGCATTGGTTTTTCGGTAATCCGCAAGTGCGTACAGCTCATTTAGCTTACACGGGAGATGTGTAAACGGTACAAAATTATTACACGACAGTATTTATGGATTTTTTCTTTCCATTCTTAATAATTGTTCTATTATTACTTTTTTTTTATTAAAATTTATTTAGTTATTTTTCTCTTAAACTATTTATAAAAGTTATTCTTTAAAGGAAATATATTAAAGCCTTTTATTAAGTGATTTGTGTTCGCTTTCAGGAGAATTCGTGAATTAACTAAATATAGTAAATCAGTCGTGTTTGTTTGAACATTTTATTAAATGAAGCAGTTTATTTATTACCTACCAACTTGTCTGTTTAATTTAAATAGGCACTAATTAATGGTTATTTAGTAAACATTGTAACTCGTATATTTAGTCGACCTTACTAAATTCCGCTAAATTAATACAAACAAACATTATTTGTAATATACAACTTATTTTTTCGATAATTTGTTATGAATAAATAGTTTTTTCCTTTGTGATAATGTTATCATAGACAAGGTTCTTTTGTAATATAGAGGGCAAATAAGCATACGGCTCGTCTGATGGTAACTGATTATCGTTGCCAATAAACACCTGCAACCAACCACATGTATATTGTCAGCCTTTTAAGAAGAAATATACTTTATATATATTTTGAAGCTTACAATATGGTATCTATTCAGAAATACTATTACTAGGAGTTGGTTACATACTTTGGTTGTGCGAGAAAAAAAATTTCTACAAATTTCCACGATGGAGGACCGCCACTTATCTGGTTAGCATGAAACTTTAGCTTGTGGCGGGTTGTATGGTAATAAAATTCAGTAGCCGTTTAATTTGAATTATTCCTCTGGACATTTGATAGAGAAATCTCTAGTTATTGTTCCCACACTAATACGTACGTATGTCACAATGGAAGTCTATTTTAAGATGACTCTTTGAAAATGAGGAAATCTGTACATTTTCACGACTGTCTGATTCTGATAATGCTTATTCAATAAATGGGTTCCATAATAAATCGTGACTGGAATGGATCGTTGGCGGAAAGAACTGATTAAGGCGATGCAAAATTTACTTGAAAATATTAGACTTAAAACAAATTAAGTCATTCTTTTGATTTTTATTTATTTATATATTTTTTTGAGCATGTTATATAAGCCAATACCTGATTTATAAATAAATCTGTCACGTTAGATACAGATAGATAGATAGATAATTTATTTACATTACTTACAGCACACAAATTACAATACAAACGTACACTTAATATACAGTAAAAGAGATAAAAAAATGAATATAAAAAAATCAACAAAATAAAAAAAAATCAAAATGCAAAATATATAAACCAACAATTTCCTTTCTTTCCTTTCCTTCATGCGTGTTCCATAGTAACACAAAATGGTCACAACTCAGTTTATTGCTTTGCCCTCAAAAGAGCAAAACACTGATTTTCTGTTATGGCCAAGAGTCAGTCGCGAAATTCCTTATTAAAAATAATAATAAAAAGAAATATACAGCTATGAACTATATTCATAAAATAAATAATTTAATTGAATAACTGAAGAAAGCTTAATTGAAATATAACGTTTCAATTTACATTATGTATATTTTTTAAAATACTCGTATTTCAAGGTGATTAAATGTGTGTCTTGGTGAATTGTGTCGACTTTTTGGTCAAGTGGCCATTATTTCTCATATAAATTAAACGAGAATTGTTTCAGAATATCTAGTCGACTCAAGAACTTTAATTATTCGAAAACTTTTCAAAGTATTTATCTGAGAGTACTTGTAAATATTACAATATGAAATAAAAACTCTGAAATTTAAAATATTTATAGCTATAAGGAAGAAATAATATGGCATAAGATTAAAATTAAGAAACAAAATTATAGGTTCTGAACATAAAATTAAAAAATTATTATATTCTATACATTATAACATAAAGAAGGATGGTGAAAGGGAAAATTTAAAAACAAAAACTGTATTTTTTTATAATTGCACGACAAATGACCACACTATCCTGAGTGAACACAAGAATATAATGTCCTCAAACGTTACTCACAGTGTGCCAGCTCACAATGCTTTTTAACTACGTGAAAATGTTTGGAGCATCCTTCAGGAGATGTTGTTTTAAGTTTTTCTTTCCTTGTACTGATGTATCGTACTTTTCCCTTTATAAGCCTCTTTTATGATATCCTAGAAATGATCAGCGGTGACACATTTTATATTTCATCACACGCATCTTACTAAAAGGATTTTAATAAGGAAGTAAGGGTACTTTTTCACTATAATAGAGAACAAAGAAGGATAATACACCAGTAAAGGATACACTTGGTCCCTCTTACTTTTTAGACACGAGGATCACCACATAAAGTTAGGTATATCAGGAAAAAAAAAACCATTATAATTTTATAACAAATTTTTATTTCGTTGACTGTCATATTTACATAAATTTTCTTAATTGTAACACTATTTTAATTGGTAATTTGGCGAACCTTTTGAATAAATTCTTCAATTTATTTTCAACCAGTGAATTTATGATATTTAGAATTCGACGAATAATTTAGAATATAATTTTGAAAGATTAATTCTCTATTAATCTAATACAATTTGGTTAAACCTATTACATGGTTCGATAAAGATGACGCAAGTAAATAGGGTCAGTTAAGTAAATTTAACCGAGTCTAATTTACTCGGTTATGAATTAATATATAATAAATATCAGTATTTCGATTAGACCCTTAATATTTCCATGAATTAATAATACAATTTGGTTTGGTTATAATTATATACATGTATATTGATAAAACAATCTTTTCCCATTTATAATATTTATTTATCAAGCGACAACTTAAAAGGAGGGACTATTTTCTATTTGTAGAGGGTTACAGTGAAAAATAATATTCTTTAGAACAACAATATATATAATAATTATAGATATAAGACGAGACAACCATTTTAATATAAACAAAACACGTGTAGAAAAATAATATCAATATATATATATGGCAAGACTTAAATTTACATCATGGCCATAAAGAAGGTTCAATAATATTTCCTCTAATTCTGGACCAATTTTTAAGCGATGTCAAAAGAAGAAGATTCTTAATTCGTCTGAAATTTTCGTATGTATGTTACGCAATTACATCGCCAGTTCTATAGTGATTTTTATTCTTTTTTCTAAGTGTTTACTTTCTTTTTACAGTTTAACGGCAATTTTTTATGCAAATCGTAGTTGTACTATAATGACAGCTTCATTTTTATAGTTCTTGAGAATTTCGAAATTCTATTTTAGATCTGGACCTTTTTTTTTAATTTTATTACTTTATTATTTCATACAAAAACAGCTATATGTGAATTCATGATAAAATTATTATTATTATTATAATGACATATCTAATTAATTTTAGTGTAAAACCAATTCATAGATTTAATTGATATAAGTACCAACTTTATACCTTTGACAACGACTACACTATTCTTATTGAAAAAAAAAGATATATAAAATCGAAATTTGAATTAGTAAACATATAATATAACATGTAAAAAATAAAGGCGAATTGAGTAATTCCTATTTTATTAAGTCGCTAAAAATACAGTAACTGAACTCTTTCTATAAAGCTACAGTGTTGCGATCAGTGGTCAGTCAAGCGATGTAAAGCGACTATGAATGTCGGTCTAACTTTGTAGGGATGGTCGATGCCTTCATAATAAAACGGACATTATCACAATCTGGAAGTTATTATGTTTTTAACTATTATATAAATTAAGAACGGTATTTAATTTCGCGAAAAAATAGCGACTGGAAATAATCGGTAATCAACAATGTAATGGGACAATGTCTTAATAAAAAGGTGTCAAATTAATAGTTTTTAGAGATTTTGTCTGTCTATCTAACTGTTTGTAAATTTATTACGGCATCACCCAAAAAACTACTGCTCTAAATTGGATGTTGTTTAGATAGGTCTAACTAAAAAAAAATGGTGTATGTTTTATTTTAATATGCCTTCTAGAGGTATAGTATTTCATTGGTTTTCTTACATCTGAAATTTACACGTACGAAGTAGTGAATATATAAAATATTTTAATTAAGAAAGCGAAATTGTGTTGTTTTTTATTAAAGAAAAACGGCAGCTTTGTCACAAAAGAACAAACTTAATATGGGAACAAGTTAAGAGTATGGACAAAGGGCATGCTTTCGAGTTGAAACCCTAATAAAAAGAAACTTTATTAATTGTTAGAGGGAATAAAGTCGTCAATAGTAAATTAAGGATGTTATTCCGTGAAATAGTCATATCATTAACGTCAAATCAACCGTTTATTGTCCACTGCTGAACTTAGAGCTCTCCCATAGGAAGGATCATATAAAACAGAGGAATTGGAAATTTTTCTTCTTTCTGAAGTGGCTAAATATATATATATATATATATATATTAGGCACTATTATAAAAATATCCGCTGTATAAACAGACGATAATTACATGAAAAATTAAAAAAGTTAAATCTGGAACGCGCTATATGAGGTTGTAACAAGAAATGAAATTATTCATTCATTCAACAACCGCATAATTTTCATTAATGAAACCCTGAATATTTATGTCATCCCATTTCTAGGCCTTTGCACGTATTCTCTCTCGCACTGTTACAGCTGTTATCCAATAATACGGAATGGAACACCATGTATAAATAACATTATTATTATTATCTAGAATTTATTGAAATATAACAACAGATAAATTAATTTTAAGTGTACTAGATATGTGTTAAAATAGACACTAATAAAGTTTTAGGTACAGACCTGTCTGTTACAGATGTGATTATGAGATTAGAACTTCAGGCATCTATATTTTTTCAAGGATATCTATTTAGCTAAAAGACGGAAAGTGTCAAATTTCATATTAAATTAGATTAATTTACCTCTATGTATAAGTTTTATTTATATATTTAACTTGAAAAAATAAATGCTGTACAGAGTAGTGAAAAAATATTAATATTAAGAATTATCATTGTTTAAAAAAAATTACACAGACAAAAAATAACCAACTGGTAAAGATTTAATAATATATTTCTTACAAAGGTACATATTATCACTTTTGTGACTGTTTTTAAATATTTAAATATAAAAAGAATAAAACATTTTTATAAATTTTAAGAAAAACGATAATGTATATATTTAATTATTTATATTTAATTTGTGGTTATTAATATTTGTGCTATTTTTATCTTATTTTAGTATATTATACAACTGTACTTGTAACACTTTACAATATAGAACACAATTCTTAATATGTATATTAAGATTTTGTACATTGATTTTACATTTTTAAAGTATAATAAATATGTATAATGGTATTTTTGTTACACTTATATGTCTAAGACATGCTACATTTTATTCAAAACATTCTTGAAATTAGTTATATTTTCTTTATTAATTTATTTGTTTTGGTGATGGACATTACAAACTGAGTAATAAAATAATAAAAAAAAACTAACTGGTGTAGCATTAGACCTGTAATATTTATTATTACGTCTACTTATTTGAATAAAGTTCCCTATTATGTTATCTCTGGATTAGAAACAGATCTTATATGATATCTAATTATATTAAAACTATACAATAAAGTTTATCTAACTAAATAAATTTAATTCTTAATTATTTATATTACACTCATTATTTACACAAATGTCAATATTATTAATTAATTTATTACATAAATTAACGAACTTTACGATCATTTCTTTAATTTCATGTATAAATTTGAATAAAATTCGATCTACATATATTTATATTCAATATTGACATCGTTGCTATTTAATTTTACCGATAGTATATTTTTTATAAATTATATTCAGGTACCAAATTCTAAGTCATTGTATGTAGGTTTACTAAAAATATAAAAAGTGAATATAGAAAATAATACAGAGGCTTTGTCTAATGATGATTTTGCACAACCCTGCTGCATCGCCGCTGGATGTTCACCTAGAAATAAGAAAAGTTTATTAAAACCCGTTGCGATAAATTGTGTTCATTGCACATTGCGTCGTTGTGAATTTAATAAAGTACATTGCCTATTATATTATGAAATTTATAAACTAAAAGATATTGACTGTATTTTACATTAATTTTGGAATCAAAATATAATAATTTAAGTGAATGAGAGAACTAAAAAGTTATTGTAATTTAATATTTAAAATTTAGATCATTTGCGACAACTGAATAGTTTATACTATTGCAACAGACTAGTTCATCTTAGCTCGCTGTATGTGAATAATATTTTTTTTTTATATTAATATAACATTTAAATAAAATCATCATCAGCCTTGTATACAAAAACATTTACCTCCTTATTCATAACACCTATTTCAGGTATACTTTTGTACGAAGTCTCCCTCTGGTAAAAATTAACATTTAAATAAAATCATCATCAACCTTGTATACATAAACATTTACCTCCTTATTCATAAACTTATTTCAGGTATAGAACTATTACTGTACCATACTATTGTCTCTTTGTTTTGCATTAAATTCCCAATTAGAAAGAAAGTGAATCGTCACAGTGTAACTGTTAAAGTGAATTTGTAGGTTCGAATTTTTAAGAATAATTAGATTAATATATGTTACAATTTTAATTTCTATGCTGTATTTATACAGGTGAGATTGAAGTATTTAACTATACGTAAAGGTAAGAATCTATACATATTTTAGAATTTGAGTATATTAAGATCAAAATTTCTCGTATGAAAAATTCAAGAGCGACTAAAACGTTAAACCTTCTATTATATATTAACTTAACAGCTAGATACGCCATCTTAATATGGGAATGGAAATTTTTTAACCGATTTTAAAAAGAATGAGGTTCTCGATTCAGTTGTATTTTTTTTATGTTTTTTATGTCATAACTCCATTAGTCGTATTGCAGATATTACAATAATTACAATAAAGATCTATTTAATAAATATTCAAATTTAAATAACTAAAACTAAAATATGTAATATTTTTACTGTACCATTATCGAATTATTGAATAATAATATAATGACACAAAAGTATAATTAAACACAATTTGGCTATTACGAGCCCTCCGTTTGTACGTAGACGAAACATACAAGCTATTATTAGTGAGTAAGCTATAAAATTATCAAGGACTACATAATCCAGAACTGGCTGTCGTAAATTGTAACCCAACATTAAAAGTAATTTTGTATTGTAATTGTTAGTAATAATGGTACTAAATCATGGAGTAGAATTTCAAAAGGAAAAATATCACATTTAGAGACATAATAACTACACTACTTTGTATTTTTATTAATAAAAATAATTAAGATTGTGTCCCACAAAAAAAAAAAAACAGAGTCAATTGTGACAAAAATAGTTATTTTGATTTAAAAACTAAACTACTGAACCAATTTTGATAAAATATCTGTGGGATGGATCTGTATATATATAGAATAGACCAGCGTTGCCAGATTTTAATTTAGGAAGTCGGGATTTTGAAAACTTTTTTAATGCAAAAAGCGGGATTTTTTTGTAAATAGCAGGATGCAGTAATAAAACATATATGTATTTGTGATATAAAATATTAAGTTTAGTGAAATAAAATACGAGACATGTCTTATAAAAAATCTAACACAGAACAAACTTAAAAATTATACATTGTTCTAAAAAACCTCAGTGTCAACAGCCAGTATTAAAACTCCAACAGATTCTTTTGTCGAAAGCAGGACACAGTGGAAAAACGTATATAATCAGAAGTTTATAAATATTTATTTTTGAAAACAAATTAAAATAAGAAAAGAGTGAAACTCAGCATACTGCATGCATGGTCGAGTTATCCCTGAAAAGCGGGACTGAGCCTGTCCCGCGCGGGACATTTAGTTTTGATTTAAAAATTGGGACGTCTGGCAACGCTAGGATATACTGTCCTTACAAATGAGAAAAAAAATTTCAAATCGTTATACAGCTGACGGAGTTATAAATTAACAAACATAAAATAGATATAATCGAATTGAGAACCTACTTCTTTTTAAGTCGGTTAAAAAGAATATCATCTTGTACTCTGATCTTTCCACTTATTAAGCCAAATAAATCTTAACCAGGTTACATTATTTTTCTTTTTACCGTGTGGTCCCGGAATAGAATAGACCACCGCTTCCTTTCCTGTGAGTGTTGTAAGAAGTGACTAAGGAAACTTATAGTCGAAGGATGGGCAGCAGCGCCCCTCTTAAAATATCACTAAAAGCCTAACTGCGGTTGCCAACCCGCCTGTGAAACGTGGCTACTACTAACAAAGTCTCTCCTTTATGGGGGAGGCCTATATTCAGCAGTGAAAGATTAAGTTACCAGAGGGAAACTTTGTACAAATCGATTGCTTGGGTACCTCTGTCCCATTTGTGTTTCTACCGTGAAGAAGTTGTGTTTGCATGGTTGTGTTTCGGTTTAAAAGATAGGATATGGCGTGAATTTACAGGCTACAGAGGAATAACACCTGAGTCCCCAGGAATGGCAACGCATTGAGGGTATCATGGGAAAAAGAGTATACTCTGTTATGCCCATGGTACTGCTCATGTCTATAGGTGACGGTTACCACTTTCCATCAGGTGGGCCGTCAGCTTTGCCATTCTAAGTTGTACAAGAAAAAAAATATGATGATCATGATTGTTTTTCCTATAGCACTGATATTTTTTCCATATATAGTGCTTAATATATTGTTCAAACAAACATATTACCATCTGTAGTATTTTAAAAAATTCAATATACTTGTAACCTTACCAGATAAAACGTGCACTCTAGTTGAGGCAGATGGTGCGTTATTGGGGCCGCAAGTGTACACACCGGCGTCCAAACCCGTCGCTCGCTGCACAAGCAGTCTACTGGTACTTTTGAGACCTTTTTCTGTCACGAGTGATATTCCGCCGCGAGCCGAATCGAAGTTTATTACCTTGTGGAGAGAAATACAAAATTTGTACCTTGTAGATACATTTCTCTCGAGTATAATTCAATGGATAGTAAAACATTCATATTTAGATTGAATTGTACATTGTATATAATATTGTAATTTGTTTTTATTTTTTTATCTACAAAACTAGTTTGTGTTCGCTACAAAATAAATTTGTCCGGAATTAAATGCAGTCTATTTTCTTTTTCCCAATAATACAGATATGTTAAAATTCATACCGATTATAGAAAACATTAAGATTCTAAGGTGTAATAGACGATGTTATTTTGTGATTTTAATAATGATGGTGCATAACAAAATGTTGTTTAAATGCAACTATAAAAGTCTGTAATAGTAGAGCTATTACATTTACGTTACTGTCCATAATGAAAAAAATATTATTGTAACCTTTTTGTAGAACTACACGCTGAAATGTCCAGGCAAAACCTCCATATATATTTATCTATCTGTGATATATTTATAATAGTTATGTATAATATTTACACTTTATATACTCTAATTGGAAGTTATATATAGTTACATACATACATATCTGTCACGCCTGTCTCCCATTAGGGTAGACAGAAACGATAGAACGCCAAATGCTTCGATTCAAACAAACCTCTTTCGCGCATACATACACGCTTGCCGGTTACGGGTACTTTTAATTTGGCCCTTCTTCAGCAAGTCACCTATTTGGTCAACATACTTTCGTCTAGGGCGGCCCCTACCGACATCTCTATTCATTCTTGCTAGATAAATCTCTTTCGTAATTCTTCTTTCATCCATCCTCTCCAAATGACCAAACCAACGCAACATTCCTTTTTCGACTTTTGTCACTACATCGTCTATTACTGAACTAGGTGTTATCTTACTGAAGTCTATATTAATGATTGTTTCGCTGCCATTAGTATGTGTGTGACTCCCAACACTTGTAACTTAACCATCACTATTACTACCACAAGATCCACAATCTTTCATATCAGCCACCAACCTCCATTTTGCTCACGCACGTTTTGCGAAACATACTAATGGTAACGGATTTATACAAAATAATTCTAATCAAATAACCAGTTAATAAATAAGTAAATTAGATTGGGAAATCCTAATATTTCGAATCGGAAGTTACAAATCTGACTGCTCTTGGATAATTAAAATGAAATTGTCTGTCCAAGTCATTTGTTACGTAAATCACGCTCAGACCGCTTAATCGATTGAATCCAACGAATTGCCGCTCTCGTACACCTTTAAGGATTTAATCCGCCTTAATCCGGGTATTTCCGGATTTGTAACCATTCACGATTAGGTGATTTCTGTAAGTTATGGTTGGCTTCCAGAAATTACAATGTTCACATTAATAATGTAACAATTATAATCTCGTGTACTTTCTGTAAACTATTTGTGTTTACATATTATTTTATATTGAATAGTATTATTGAATACCCTTAAAAGTATCAACTAATTTGATAAATTCAACAAGATAAAGCCTTCTTAAGCCTCCTTAAGCCAAGAAAAAGATTTAGTATTAAGACTGACAAGAAATTGAATCAATTATTCTATTTCATTTCATATATAATTAAACTATTAATAATGAAAAGGTGAATAAACTTATTATAGTCCAAATAATAACGCCATTTTCAATCAACTTAAAAAAAAATATTCTCAATATGTTTTTTCTTTTCTATTCTATATTTTAAATTGAAATAATTTGTATTGAAATAAATTTTATTATAAACATTTTAATTAATTTAATTATCTGAAATCGATTGAGAAGGGATATTTATCTTAGTTTTACCTGATCTCCATGGGTCCAAGTAATTGATGTGGGTGGTTCCGGTGTATGTCGAACTGTACACGTCAAGTTAATAGTTGATCCAGCTTGGATGAATAGTTCTGAACCACTTGATATCACCGTTTCTGGTTCTAAAAACGAAATATTAAAATAAGCCACTGCAATTAGCAAAATCCCTTTTTTTTTCTTGCTATAAGGCTGTACATGCATGGAAAGAATTATGAAAGTACAGGAAGCAAGAGATGTGTATAAAAAGAAGTCTGGCACTCTGTTCTCTCTGCATATCCCGCAAGGGACTTAGCATGAAAATAGAAAAATACATAAGACCATATAATACCAAAAATATTTAAAAGTGTAGTTCATTCGATTATATTTATCTGGACCTTTGACCTTGTTTTGTTTATTATATTGTTTATCCAGGGTTTTTTTAAGTAACATAATCTCATTAGATTCGTCTTAATTATAAGCAATATTATAAGGCTAGATAATAACAGACAACTTTCGAAATTTATCAAATTTTTAGTCACTTTGTTATAAACACTTTTAAATGTGAATTGAAATTTTGGTGGACATTTTCTATTTTATTTCTAAATTATATATATACACATATATATATATATGTACTTTCAAGTTTATCAGAAATAATACGATACAACGTTGACCTCTATAAGCTATCTAAGCTATTTGCTCTTTTTTGTTTGTTTTCGTTATAACCTAAAGGACCTATCTTGATATCAACTGGACAGTGTACTTTAGCGGGCAGTCTTATTGAATGGCCAGCCATTTATCTCTATCTTGACAAATGTCCTTCGTGCCTGTACAGTCATCAATCTTTTCTACACATATATGAAAAGCAAATAAATATAACTGTAAAAAAATCAATACAGTTAACGTCCATCTAAAAAAGGTGAAATGTTTTCTTTATATTGTTTTGCTATATCGAATAATTTTAAAATAATCTATATTGTTTTTTCTCAGATTTATATTGTATATATTTACATATTAGCAATCCGACCCGTCTTCGCACGAGTAGATAGGTTATATATTATTTTCAAATATTCTATGTTACTCGCTGGTAATGTAAATTTCTAAAGGTAAAATAATTTTTGAACTCGTTTAATTAATTTTAGAATTTACAAACAGACAATCAAATATTTTCTGTTAGCGGGTCGCTAGTACTTTATATAACTCACCTACGATATTAAGGAACACAGCATGTCCAATGGGTGGAGTGGTGGAGATCTGGCACTCGTACTGGCCAGAGTCCCGGCGCTGCGGACTGCGTATCCGCAGCGCCCACTCCTCAGAGCGAGGCTTGTGCTGCGCCTCGAAGCGCTGGTCTGAGGTGTATGTATACCGACCGACAGTCAGTAAGTGGATGTCGCGATGTCTCACCCATGATACCTAATAAAAATATAGTTATTAAAAAAAATTAAAATTAAATGATATTGACTTAGTAAATAAAGAAAGAACAAAATCACTTATGCTTTAATATAAGAATAACTGAATTAACTTATATGTATTTTAATCAAGAACACTAAAAATACACATAAGTTACGTAAAAAACCAGTTGTTCTTACTATAAAATGTAATGTGTACTTACTAAAATTTTAACAATACAATCACTTGTATTTTTTCATTAAATTAAAATATTTTGTTTTAATGATAACTGAATAATTACTAATGAACCACAAAAAGATAAAACTTGACAGATAATTTAGGGCAATAAACAAAGCAAAACAAGTATAAGGCTTTGTTTCAAGATATTTAATTAAATCGATGTATAACATAAGTTAATTGGAAAATTTAACTACAATTCAGCACTGTTTTCTGATGGGTTTCATTATGTCTACCTACATGTTAGTTAATCGAAGCTGAATAACTTTTGTTGTTAGTCGTATATTTTTAAAATTTGTTAAAATATTTGACTACAAAATTCTGGAATTAACATTATTTACTAATAATATTAACGGGAAAGTGATGTTATTTGATTGCTAGTTACCTCTTAGTGTCTGAACCAATCAATCAATAATAGACTTGTACAAGTGCTGTATGGTATGGACCAGCACGTAGGCTACTATTAAATCAAAATATTCTGCTAATACAAAGAAAATTATAGATAAATGCTAGTGTTTAATAAAAGTAAAAGAAATAAAAATATTAATAGTATTTATAGCTATATCTTTATTCTTGTTTCTATTTTTAGTACAATATATAATTTTTTTTTTCGAAATCCTCGAGAGTATATTTTGTAGTACGAGTATAAAGAAAGTTTTGTACATCAAATAGGTACATTAAAAACTTCTTATATCTTTCAAAAAACAAATATTATTAGTTTTTGAAAATATTTGAGAGTTTCTTAATATACCAATTTCTAAAATACAAGTTGGGATAAAGATACTTGTATTATACAGCTAGAAATGATAGATGGAGTTCAACCAACTAATATGTTAACATATGTCATATATTACAATGAAACAGATTTATTTTAATCTAACCATTTTTTAATATTTTTGATAAGTTACAACTCGATTTTTTAAAAAGTGGATAGAATGTAATTCAGCACAATATAGTAATAATTTTGAAATAAAACCTTGTATGAAACCATTTGGTCAGCGAAATAATAACACTGGGTCATGTGCTAAATTAGGATTTAATTTTATTCAGTAGGTATGGCATAAAATAATAGCAAACAAATTCATCCATCAATCTATATAAACATACATCCTTACAAGCATTCGCATTTATAATATCTGTGTGTCACATACGTTGTTAATAATAAAAGATGCATTAAAAGTTCATATGAAATATCATTCTATATGCATTGCGTCGATATTATTTATTGCGCGTACATTCTTTGCAATTTTTACGTGATTTTGCAGTTCCACATATTTCCACTGGTCCTGTTATCTACCTATATGATACATTGACGTAATATTTTATAGCTGTTGGAAACACTAACATTAATTCTGTACGTTTTTATAATATTGTAACGCTGTATTTCCTCGCCTCTTCGCTTGCTCTGACGTATAAATGTATGTGTTGAATGAAGTTATGTAAAAATGTGTGTTATTGTGTTTCTTGTTATTTTTATTATTTCAATTTATATATATATTTTTTTATTTTATGCCAAAATTGTAGTTTAAAACCGAATCGTGTAACTAAGTTTGTCTGTGAAGGTTTTTTAATTTTTAAATCTCTCGAAAATTGTAATCACCATATCAGCTGTTAACTGTCCATTGCTGAACATAGGCCTCCTCTATAATAGACTACTCATTGGAGGCTTTGCTAGTACTTGTCACATTTACCAAGCAAGTTGCCAACCGCAGTTAAGCTTTTGGAGATATTTTAAAAAGGATGCTGCTACCCATCCTTCGTCCATCAAGTTCCTTTAGTCGCCTCTTGCTACACCCACGTGAAAGGAAGCGGTGGCACATTCTATGCCGAAACCATATAGCAAACTCATCACAAATTAAAAAAAATTACTAAATAAAATATCAGGAAACGAATCAAAAAGAAGTTCCAGTCTCATATTCTCGGTCGGGATGATATAGATGAGAGAGCAATGGTATGTACGAGAGATTGAAAAGGATTACAAATTTCAAGTCACATGTCTTGTGAAGACATGTGACTTGAACATGTCTTCACAAGACATGTGACCTCTTGAACAGAGAGGCTAGTATTTTTTTAATGAATGATGATGGAATGGTAATCTCGCCTGCGTTATCGGTATACGCTGGTGGGGCACCAGTAAGGTAATAAATGAGGATGAAATAAGGTTCACTAGCCCATCTTGATGAAATCAACTAGAATTAATTACGACTATTTCCAGGAAGAACGGCATGAATATGGACCTGATAGGATATATTGCTAGTAGTAAGGCTTTTAGACTCCATCACTAATAACCACTTTCCCCCCGAGGATAAGTATTCCTAAGATACGACATAAAATATTCATAAAAAATTGTATGGCATAAAATGTTTCTTATATATAAATATATTTATTTAAGTTAAGGTATTTTACTATGAAACTGTGTATTCTAGTAAATACCAGTTGTTTAAAATAAAGAATTATTATCATTAAATTATCGTGCTACAAAAACGGATGGAGTAACAAAAGATTAAAAAAATATATTTAACAGCAACGCCTAACATGCAACGGAGGGTAAACTCTTACCTATTGTAGGTTGTTCTTCAAAGAAGTCTTTTGTGTACATTGTGGGTGGTTTTATATTTAATTTGATACAAAATCAAAGGTATTTTTAGGCGCTTGTTTTTAACAAATCCATTATATTTACTGTAATCTGATAAAATGTAGTTAGAAGCTATCGGGTGTTACCACGAAATGTAAATTCCAAAATTTCAACCCAATTTTCTTACGTACAATGTTCATGCCGAAATCGAGTTCGTAGAGTAATATTTAATTTTTGTTTTAATCATAAACACTACAACGTAATATACGTATTTTTGTTGTTAAGTTTGGCATTGTTTTGACTGCGACGCTTTAGCTTAATATTTAATTATCGAACGCCTACACGGTAATTAGACAAATTAATAAGAACATCTATAGGTACGAATCTTCAAATAATGCGTTCTATTTATACTGTTCTATTATATATATATATATATATATATAAATAAATATATATATATATATATATATAATGAGTCACCCCTTTCTTTCCCATAGGTATCGTAAGAGGCGACCAAGGTAGCCAAGCGTAGTAACTACGAGCAAAACCCCACAATGGCAAATGTCAGAAGGAAATGGTCTCCAGTCCTTTGGCTTGGGACCATTCATTATAGTAGTCTTTATGGGAAGCCTGTGTTCAACAGTGAACAAATAACGGCTGATATGATGATGATGATGATTATTATTATTATATATGTACATAGTTTTAATAATAGAGAAAGTTGATAATAATACTCTAAGTTTTTTTTTTTTTTATACAACTTAGAATGGCAAACAAGCTGACGGCCCACCTGATGGAAAGTGGTAACCGTCGCCTATAGACATGAGCAGTACCATGGACATAACAGAGTATATTGTTTCGCCCATGATACCCCCCATGCGTTGCCATTTCTGTGGACTCAGATGTTATTCCTCTGTACCCTGTAAATTCACGCCAAAGTAATAGGTTGAATATCCTTTACTCAATTACGTTTAAATGATAAAAATGTACAGTATTAGAAATTCAGATGGAGTGTGTATATCCTGCATAATTTTTATCTAAAATGACGCAGACTAACCTATATATAGGACACCGCTAGTTCAACTTATTATTCTAATGAATTTAGCTTTAAAGTTTAAATCCAATTCCTAGTGCTTTAAAACGTTTTACATACAGACTCGTCAGTGCTCTTATCTGCACGGTCTTCGTTTTGTATTTTATATAGAAAACTCCCAATGGAATCTCTCCGACCAACTGTTTTATTAAAAAGTTGTTCATTAACTATGGAAATTCTGTTTTATGATTTTGTCTTTGTCGTTTTCTCTTATTTGCAATAAGACGGAAAGAACGGAATAGCCTCTCGTTAATAGGCAATCAAATTATATTTTTTTTAATTCGTTCCTTTTTGTTGAGATTTTAATCGTTGTTAAGGATAAAGTCACAATTATTACATCCATTTTTCGTTGATGGATGTTATCAGCATTTGATTTTTTTTATTTCAACATGAGTTTGCTCTATCTTACCTCACCCGATGGTAAGTAATAGTATGATCTAGGATGGAGCGCACTTACCAAGAAGAAGATACACATATTCACCATCGACTTATTATTGGAGTGGATTACTCTATATATACTTCTATTATAAATGTAACAGTTAGTGAGAATATATATTAATTTATTAAACTTTAATACACCTAGACAGTGTAAATGGAGGACTTAACATGATATGGCGTTATTTACTACTCGGCCGTAGACAGGAATAACAGAAAATATTAATGACGATGCAACGTGATGAATATTGAATTAAAACAGAAATTTAAAAATTTACGAAGAATAACAAGCTAACGGCCCATGATGGAATACTATAGACATGAGCAGTACCATGGACATAACAGTACACACACATACTGTTTCGCCCATACATATATTATAAATTAATCCCACCCTTCAAACCGAAACACAACCATGCAAACACAACTGCTTCACGGTAGAAACACGAATGGGACAGAGGTACCCAAGCAATCGACTTTTGTCATCTACATTACATACTCGTATATTATATAATTAATAAATGATAGACGAAAAACTACAAGGGAACTACTACTATGAAAAAATACCAGCATCGGATAAAGTAAAACGTCTAAAACTTATTACGATTCTAGGTATTCAAAATAAAAGAAAGTAACGTGTAAAATTTGGTATTTGTTACTGTCACGCAAAAACTATGGAATAGA